CAAAAAGTATTTTATTTGAACGTTTGAAAAATCATCCAAAATCATCAAACATAAACCCCTGACATCCCTGTAAACCTACACAAACACACCACCACTACAGCGTAGTCGTATTCATAGCTAAATCAAATATGCAGATAAATAAAACGATTTCTATACCGGATCGGTCGAGGCCCGGGTTAACAACGACCGCCAACAGTGCCGTTGACCAACAGGGCACTGATGGAAATTGGACTACTGTTGGTCAGAGACAGAGTCAGAGACAGAGAAGAAGAGGAGGGCGTTTGGTTAGGAGAAAAAGAGAAAAGATGAAGAATAGAAGTGTTAGTCTGAAGTTTGGAACTTTGAATGTAGGTACAATGACAGGGAAAAGTAGAGAAATAGCTGATGTGATGGAGAGAAGAAGAGTAGATATTTTGTGTGTGCAGGAGACCAGGTGGAAGGGCAGTAAGGCTAGAAACATTGGAGGAGGCTACAAACTGTTTTATCATGGTTCAGATGGGAAGAGAAATGGAGTAGGGGTGATCCTAAAGGAAGAATATGTAAGAAATGTGGTAGAGGTGAAAAGAGAGTCAGACAGGTTGATGTGTGTGAAGGTAGAAGTAGAAGGAGAGATGATTAATGTTGTTAGTGGTTATGCCCCACAGGTGGGCTGTGAGTTGGAAGAAAAGGAGAAGTTCTGGAAGGAGCTAGATTGGATGGTAGAGAGTATCCCCAGGAGAGAGAGAGTGGTGATTGGAGCAGACCTAAATGGTCATGTAGGGGAAGGGAACAGAGGAGATGAGGAAGTGATAGGCAGGTTTGGTGTTAGGGAGAGAAACGTAGAAGGACAGGCAGTGGTAGATTTTGCAAAGAGAATGGAAATGGCTGTGGTAAACACATATTTCCAAAAGAAAGAGGAACATAGGGTGACTTACAAGAGTGGAGGCAGGTCCACACAGATAGATTATATTCTATGTAGAAGATGTAATCTGAGGGAGATTAGAGACTGTAAGGTGGTGGCAGGTGAGAGTGTAGCCAAACAACATCGGATGGTAGTGTGTAAAATGACGATGGAGGTGACAAAAAGGAAGAGAGTGAAGACAGAGCAGAAGATCAAGTGGTGGAAACTAAGGAAAGAGACATGTTGTGAAGACTTCAGGAAGGAAGTAAGGGCAGTTCTGGGTAGTGTTGAGATATTCCCAGATGATTGGGAGACTACAGCTGCAGTGATGAGGGAGACAGGTAGGAAGGTGCTAGGTATGTCCTCTGGGCAGAGAAAGGAGGACAAAGAGACCTGGTGGTGGAATGAGGAGATCCAGGAGAGTGTGCAGAGAAAGAGATTAGCGAAGAAGAGATGGGACAGTGACAGAACAGAAGAGAACAGACTGGAGTACAAAGAGAGGACAAGGGAGGTGAAGAGGGAAGTGGCCAAGGCCAAACAAAAGGCATATGAGGAGTTGTATGAGAGTTTGGAAACAAAGGAAGGAGAAAAGGAGTTGTATAGATTGGCGAGACAGAGAAATCAAGCTGGGAAGGATGTGCAGCAGGTGAGGTTGATTAAGGACAGAGAGGGGAATGTGATCACAAGTGAGGAAAGTGTGCTGAGAAGATGGAAGGAATACTTTGAGGAGTTGTTAAATGAGGAAAATGAAAGGGAAAGTAGAAACGAGGAGCCAGAGACTAGTAGGAAGAAGGTAGATCAGGTTAGAAAGGATGAAGTTAGAAAAGCCCTGAAGAGGATGAAGAGTGGAAAGTCAGTTGGTCCTGATGACATACCAGTGGAAGTATGGAAGTGTTTAGGAGAAGTGGCAGTAAATTTCCTGACTGGTTTGTTTAACAGAATTTTAGAGACTGGCAAGATGCCTGATGAGTGGAGAAAAAGTGTTCTGGTGCCAATTCATAAGAAGGGTGATGCACGGAGGTGGAAGAGTTAAAGATGCTAAGATTCTCTTTAGGAGTGACAAGAATGGACAGGATCAGGAATGAGGTCATTAGAGGGACAACACAGACAGGAAGGTTAGCAGAAAGAGAGAAGCCAGATTGAGATGGTTTGGACATGTGCAGAGGAGGGACAGTGGATACATTGGTAGAAGAATGTTAGAGATGGAGCTACCAGGTAGGAGAAAGAGAGGAAGGCCAAAGAGGAGATATATGGATGTAGTGAGGGAGGACATGCAGATAGTTGGAGTCAGAGTAGAAGATACAGAGAACAGGGAGAGATGGAAATCATTGATCTGCTGTGGCAACCCCTGAAAAAAAAAGGGACAACTTACCATGCCGTCTTCCTCCTGTTGGTATTGCTCTTAGTAATCACAGCATGTGTGCGGGTCGCCTGACTGTGACGTCATCTGAGCGCTTCCTGCGCTCACCGACTAATAACATCTAACAACAACAACAACAACACCGCTTGACATACAACATAGTCCAAAACTCTTGACGCCACTACACGTTACCATAAGCAAATGCTAACCACCCTGACCGGGATTCTATCTTACCCAGGACGTGAACCCGGCCTTTCCACACCAATGAAACGCTTTGATTAGCCCGTTTGCTGACATTTCATTACTACTTCACATTTCCATGTCTGTTCTCGTTGTCTGCTTCCTCAGGAACCTCAAAAGACAAACGTCAACACATGCATACCAGGCTGCAATTCCACATCACCACCACCACCAGAGGTCTCTCAAACGCTGTGATCCTACGTCCACCTCCACCACCCAAGGTAAATTGTCCTAATGCAGAGTACAGTCCACTCACCTGTCAGATTACAAATACACATTTCCAGCCACAGCTCTCCTTCTTTCTTCTCCCACACTCTGGAAATCTGCACATCAACAGATAAAGTCTTGATGATTTCTTCTTCTTCTTCTTCTTTATTGTTGAGAAAACAACATTCATGACAATTTGAACGAAACAAACTTTATTTTTCCCATCATGGATTGTTGTGATGGAATCAAACTTCACTTCACACAACTCTGCAAAAACAAAAACAAAAACATCATCCAATTTTAAAAGAAACTAAAAAGTCACCTCATTCTCAGGGCAGAAGAAACAAAAACAACCAAAAACTGGTAAAAACATTGTTCCAATCACATTAGTTTGACTGTATTTTCTCATTAGCCTGGCAGAGTTTGGTTCCTACAGTAGTACAAAGGGTGAGCGTGGTGGAGCCAGTATTTACAGTCAGCTTGTGCACTTGTTCAAAGTCAACAACTCAAGAGCTAAAGGAATAAAATTCAAATAGAAATAAAAACCCACGCTTCTCTGCTACGGAATGAAAGAACAGTGTTTCCACTCACTGAGGGATGGATGACTCTACAAAATCTAAATAAAAGCTCAGACTTGTTTCTGCTGAGAGGAGGAGTTCAAATAAGAGCATAAAATTAACAGCTTAAAACGTTTCGTGTTTAAAAACAGGGTAACGAAGACAACAAAACCCAAAACTGTTCCCAGGAAACAAACCTCTGGTGAACGTCCTCCCCCTCCTGTCGCTCTGGAATCCTCTCTAACATAAAATGTCAACATTTTGTTTACAGTGCTTTCTTCAGCCACCGCAGCCACACCGGCACGTCCACAATTAGTCAACGGTCCCCTTTAAATCTGAGCACTCAAAGTTTAACAAATAAACACAGGAGGGGCACGGGGGCCAGTCAGTAGGGGGGCGGGGGGGGGGGATGATTAAAGGA